ATTATGGAGGGGGCCGCTGTTCCCCTCTTTAAGGAATCGGTTTTGGGCGTAAAGTGGTCCGATTATGGATTTTTAGGGGTCGATTTCACGTGAAATTTTCCGTACTTTTCAATTCTAATGAAATCGAATCGGAATTCGATCGAAAACACCGACTTTTAAGATCGTGACCCCTCCCCTTTGCCCCCCAAGTGGTGCTGGGGGGGGTTCGAGACCATGAAATTCGGATTCCTTAGGATCGATTCCCTATCCAACCCCGCAGTCCCCGACTTCGTCCGACCTAAATCAACCGAGAAAAAGGCCTGGTATGGGTGCTCTGGGTCACCCTGTATGTACTATTGTACTATCTGCCAAGCTCAAAGTTGTACTGTTTTTGAATCATGATAAGTGATAACATAATTAAAAACTATCTTATCCATCCTCCTCAACATGAATTGAAGGATGTCTCCCATTTTCTATTCGGTTTATTAAATTGTTTTAATTTCCTTTTGGGCCTTCACTAGGTGTAGGAGAGTTATCATTAGACTCAGATAATCAGTTGTCACTTGGTCAGCCCTCGGATGGGACATCACCCTTCATATTAACGGTTCTTCCTGTTTCTTCGTTACTAAAGAAATTAGATGAGCAGAGCCGTCTCTATTGGTGAGTTTTAGAAACCTGCTGTTATTTCTTCAAATTCAATGATGATGAGGGATGTTTGGAATTTTTAAATTTTGAGATAAGAGCACTCACGATTGTCATCAGTGGCAGTTCCATTATTCTTTCCCATAATTAGTACTCGAGAGATTCCGTCCAGGGGGCTGATTGTTGAAATAAATAGGCATAGCGTTAGACAAAGAACCCAAAAAGGATATGGAGAGATCCTATTGGTGTAAGCGAGTAGTTGCAATGGACAAAAGAGGTAGGTAACAGACTAATTAACAGCAACCCACAGGAGACCCTTTAGTTAGTCAATCATTTTCTCTCCTAGTCCATAAGAACCACTCATTTCAACTAATAGAATCGCTTTATACTTCTCAAGTCTTGTTTGTCTATCACTTTGTCTATCAATTTCAACAATTAGCCCACAGCTCATTCTCACCAGTCACTAATCACGATTCAGCCGTCCAATTGATGACTTTTCCCAACTGACGTAGAACTTTTTAGATGAGTCTTCGCTTACCTCGTGAAAAGAGTTTGAAATAATCTGTCTGTAATGCGGAACTTGAATGAATGTCACTGAAAGAGAGGCTCTGAGCTGAACTTTAATCGTTGCCCTTTAATGTACAACCGTAAGGTTTGGGAGTGAAAAGTAGCTCGGAGCTAAGAAGATAACATTTTGCTACCTGAAGACACATTTACTCACGGTTTGTATTTCAGGTGGCTGGCAGCTTTTACTGGATCAGTTGGCTTAGTAATTTTATATAGTGTCTCCCGAAAAGCATGGAAACATTACAAACGGAAAGAAGAGGAACGTAGAAACAAAGAGCTCCTGGAGGCTGGGCGCAAACAAAGACGACAAACAGTCCGAGGAGATAATGTTGTTTCTGAAGCGGAAAGGTGCGTTATCTGTCAGTCCAACCCGCGAGAAATATTTCTATTGCCTTGCGGACACGTCTGCATGTGCGAGGATTGCAGTAGTCGAGTTGAAGATTTTTGTCCTCTTTGTAGGACAAGTATTGTACAGAAGTATCCAGCATTTATTTCATAGCAATTTTCCGGAAAGTTAATGCCTTAGGAAGATCAATTTGAGGTGAATCAGTGCCTTATAATTTTTTATGTAGACGGCTGGAAGTATTTTCATTGATTATGACTGATTTCCGGCTGTCTTAGAAGGTGGTCACAGTTCATGCACTTTTCGAAGGAGAGTGCTGGTCAGATTTTCTTAAAGTGCTCCTGAAACTTATCTAAATTGATGATTTAGACTTTTGTAGTTTGTGATTTTGACTGGAGCTAAGTAAAAAATGCCCAAGTCGTTTATTTTTGATTTGTGAGAAAAATGAAAGTCATGTCAATGGCCAAAATACAAAGCCATGTATCTTCAATGCGATGTCTTAAAATTTCCACTCCTATTTTATTTTTTTGAAGAGAAACAAGTCAGTTTTCTAGTTTGAAATGTATACAGAATATATTCTCCAAACTGAGGAGAAAAATCAAAGAAATTTTCTAAATACTATGTCGACTAGTTTTCCTACAAAAAAATGAAGTATGACAGGAAGTCAGCAACGTTGCAAATGAAGATATGTGGTTTTTGTACTGTGGCCATCGACTGTCAGAAATAGTTGACCTTTATCTTCCTAACTGGTGAGCCTCTAGGCTTCTCTTATCATCAGATTTATCATTTCTAGGTCAGAAAACTTCAGAGAAAGTCGTTTTGAGCAAGGAATGCCAAAACTAGCGCAACACTTCTTCTTTCCTCTTTATGTAGAAGCAAAAAACATTATTTAGTGTCTTTTTAAGCAGTCCAAAGTAATGACTTAAATTTTGTCCAAGCTTCCAGCAAAATATTGGAAAGCCTCCTGATCTCATCCAATTGTAGGTTACCTACTTAATTTAACAAAGCAGATGTACGTTTGATTTTACCCTAACTGATTGGATCACCGGATATCAAATGATTCTGTTTAGTGTGTTACAGAGCCTTGTTCAGTCTACTGTAACTTACAGAACAGTAAAATATAATGAGATCCGTCCAAAAACTGTGTTAGTGCATCCAATATGAACAGAGAAGCAGAATGATTCTCATCTCTCAGCATAACTGCTCATCTTAATTTTTCCTATTCTGCATATTAATTTAACAGTTGTTCCTTGAGCAATCAGTCCGGATCTGTGCCCCACTGATTTGGTGGAAAGAACTATATTATGCACCTTTACGTCGGATGATTTCAATCTCCAAGTTTTTCAAAAGGCAGTATTCCTGTAAATATTGGATGTCAAAACTCGCTTGGATAGAATGATTAGTGCAAGCCTCAAGCATCTGAACATAACTTTATGAGATGAAAAATGGATAAAAAACTCGATGGAGGCCATGCCTCCACCGAGTTGGACTGTGTTGTTGCAGTTCACACTGATAGGTAGCGCTGGCAGTCGCGCACACTACGAGTGATTACCGATTTTTCACAATCCAGTCGAACAGTGCAGACGGATTACTTACTGGGTGACTATGTCCCTCCCGCACCCTGTTACCTCGAAGGGTCAGGGTCAGGGTATGGGAGTGGCATAGTCATCCACAGTCACGATGACTGATATTTGAGTGTCCTCCAATATTAGTCACCTCCGGGGATTGAACCCGGTACCTCAGTGTTGGCAGCGACCTGCCTTGACCACTACACCACTGAGGCTAACTAGAAATTTTTCTCCACCCCACTTAATCAATAAATCGAAAACAGTTCTCCCTCGGCAAGATCCTTCTCCGCGTAGAGGAGTCGCAATATCGAACGTATGGCGGAGGGAAGGATTGTTTACTTTTTTCATTTCTCCTCCAGATATTCGATAAGTATATTCTCGACCAGGGACGGGAAAATTTTTATCCGGAGAGTGGAGCACAGAATTTCCAAGCCTCCCTGAAATTCCTTCTCTACCCTTAAAAAAGTTTCTTCACACCTGAAAAAGTTTTGCCGCTCCTCGGAAATGTTTTTCTCCCTACTGAAATTGCTCACCCTCGGGAGAACTCACTTTTTCCCTCTGAAGATACGTTTTTGCACAAACGGCGTTCCATGGAGTTTGATATTCTATCGAATGCTGTACGTCACTGAATCAGTCTATTGGCCCCCAGGCATTGTCATGTTCTTTGTTCCTTGGTTCTCATTATTTTATAACAGCATTTGTGCATCAATTCTTGTTCTAACCATGCCTCAAATTCCAATCCCATATTACAATCAACATAAAGGCTGTTTCTCAAATCTCCTGATGGAAGTAGATTTTGCCGTTAGAAATACGCCCAGTTTCAGTATCATGCCAAGACCTAATGAATTTATTTAAAGCAGTATACATTACTCATTATTTTGAAGGAAAACTGATGCAGAATAAATGATGGGGTTTCTTTGATGTATATTTACTTCAGCATGCCATGTGTTGGTTTCAAATAAAACTGGTTTTTTATTTCGATCATGTGGTCTTTCGCTATTTCTCTTCATGCAGTATGGTTGCAATTTTTCAAAGTGCTTTAACTCATGAAATGAATGCACATGGGCCTGTGGTTTTTCTCAAATCTTTGGTGAAAATCTTTAGAAAATGAGGCCTGCGTACCTACTGAGAAAGTTAGATTTTTTTTAAAAAAGGTGAATATGAACCTCTCTGTCAGCATCAAGACATTTCTCTCTTGATCTGCTTATGCATTTACTTCTGAACATTTTAAACAGTGTTTTGTCTTGGAAGATGTTTCAGTAAAGAACTATGCTGTAATGCTACATAACATTCTCTATTAACCAGCCCATTTAGATGTTAAGAGTTATTACAGCAAGTTGAGATTTAGGTAGTCTATTTACAGTCTTTCAAGATGAATTATTTTTTCTCCTTTGTGATTTCCTGAATTTTTTGTTCAATGATTTCAACGGATCAAACATCACTTTCCTTGGATCCCATAAATACAGAGCGGCTAGAATCATTGGTGCCAGTCCACTCAGATTAAGGCAGAGGCTTAGAGGGCCGTTTCAGAAACCAGTTCCAAGGAATCTAAATTCCGCCATTCCCCTTGCTTCCGTTGGGCGTAAAAGAGGAGGGTTTTGAAAAATAGGGTTCACAATCTTTTCTGATTTTTATATAATGATTTCGACATTTCGCTGAGAGCCCCACTTTCCAAACCTATCTCCCTTTCGCCCTACGGAGAGGATAGGCAGAGGGGGAATGCCTAGGAGACCACGAAATTTGGATTCTGTTGAGTCAAGCCCTCCGTTAACTGCCAAGTTTTCCTCTTCATCAGGCCTAAAAGAACCAAGGTGAAAGCTGAGTTAATGGGGAGTGTCCATAATTAGGTACCTGCAGGTAAATTATTTCAGGGAATTCAATAAAGAATAAGTCAGAGGACATAAACAGCTGGGCAACTAAACTAAAAATTTATTAAATATCACACAAAACCACACCATTCTTTCATTTTAACACAGTATCAGGGCAAAATTTCACACTTCAGTTTTCAACATTCCTGAGGGATGGAATTTTTAATATTTGGCCAGAGATCATGAAAAAATAAATAACTCTGTATCTTATATACCTTTGAGTGCGGCAAGATAAATTTTCTTCCCACAGTGTAAATCCAGGCATTGTCAACAATCACTTACAAGGTTTTGACTGTTCTTGCAAATCTTACATCATTTAAAGATATGCAGCAATTGTTTGAATTTTACTTGTGCATTGTTGTGGAATTTCGTCTCTGGACTGAAACGTACTTCTCAGATGCAGAAGTTTGCTCATCATTAGTGATGGAATAGATTTGTTCAAAGTGAACTGTGATGCTGAATGCTCTACATTCAGATTGGATACATAATTTACATGACAGTTATTTAACTTTCGACAAAGATAATAGGTCGTGCTTCCTTGAATAAAATAAAAGAAGAAATATATTAAAGTACAAAGTATGGAGAGATATAAAATCGAAACTTACAGAGATGTGTTAAGAGAAAAACAGAAGATCATAATACTACAAGCAAACTGATGAATAAAAAATAGGGAAGAAGGGTAGGTAGAAAACAATCAACATTTTGACAGGTGGTGAGGGTGGGAAAACATACATCTAAATTTTATTGCAATGTTATTCAGTTTCAAAATAACAGTGCAAAAATTTGAAATTCTTTGCCAGGTAGTTCCATCTGACAACATGCCTCTTAAATTACAAAGAATCTTGACTCTACAAGCTTAAAAAAGCAAAGTCATATCTTTTTTCCTCCTCCTATCCTCCAGATAGCATAGCGATAGGATTGATGTGGTTAATGTTGACTTCAGGAAAGTAGCCTCTTAAAAGCGCTTGGTTCGACTACCTGCGGCTAATAATTGTTTGACACTGAATGTAGAGACCGTTATTCCTATGCTAGCTAAGAATACAGCAGAAGGAACAATCAGTCTATCGATGGAGGTCCACAATCGAGTCTGGAAGAAAAAAATCAGTAATTCAGAAATTTAAGATCAACTTAAAATTTTCTCCTCCTGAATACCATGGAGACAGCGTGCACAAACTAAATAAAGAATAATAGAACAAGTCCGGAACCACTTAGCCGGGCAACCTTTGATGGCCCTAACTGCAGATTTGAACTGGCCTATTGGTATTCTTCAGAGTTAGTCTGTAATGCAGGGTGTTCCTCAATGTTAAAGTGGAGCCTGACTTGATTGAGAACAAATTTGTAGTTGGGCTGCTCAGTTGATATTAAATTTTGATGACCATTGCTGACTTCAATTCATCATGTCACTGAGTATGACTTCATACACTTCCGATCTTCAGGAAGGCAATAGACGCTATTAGTGGCGACGTCATCATAGGGATTCTCCAATACATCAAATTGGATCCAAACAATAACATTGGCAGAACCTCTTTCAATGCTACCAATGGGAAAAAATCGATATATATCGCTTTTCTGTGACGTGGCACTAATAGCGTCTATTAACAATATAAAAAACAAACTGCACTTCCAGCCTAAAATGCTGAACAACAGTAAACATCATAAAAGGACTTTGCATGGAATATCAAGAAATTTGGCGCTGGCTGAATTTCAATATTTTTTCACATGATATGCCTTGCGAACTCCTTAGTAAAGAGACCTTTTAAAATTACAATTTTTAGGAGTCAATTTTGAGACAATCAGGTCTGAAAAGTGCATTTTTTGGCAATTTTACGCATGTAATTATTTGGAGGAATGGTACCAACAACAGTTGAAGATGCAGAACCTTTTGTTTTAAACTGAGTTGGCATGCTGTCTAATCTCCCCTGCTGGCACGAGATTATTAAAGAGGAGTTCACTCCTCAATCACCTAATTTGTCCACTGGATCACACGTGTAAAACTGCTGAAAAATGCGCTTTTCAAACCCGATTTACCAGAAATTGCCACTTGGAAATTTCAATTTTAAAGCTCATTTTTCTCACAAGATCTTAAGGAACATACTACAAAAAATCTCCGCCAGCGCCGAATTACTTGGTACTCCGTGCAAAGTCTTTTGATGCATGCATCAGTTTCAGTCTGGGTATTCACTTTCTATTATTGATTACTTTGGATCTAGAAAGTCCAAATGGAAACAGACACAGTATATATTGCAATATATACGCAAATATATGCATTGTGTAAGCAATGCAAAGAGGAGCTGTCTTGCCTCTCACTGAGAATCAACTAATATGCAATAAGCCACAATGCCACTTGGATATAACATGTCACAAGTTCCAATTTGCATGAAACTGGACTTTTCTTGGTGCGAACTTCAAATCGTCTTAACATTAAGTAATTTGGTTGCATATGGTTCTTCGTTTTTGTCCAAAAATATTTATAGAACTCTCCTGTGGGCTCTTGAATCAATAATTCAAAATTGAGATTTTGTTGAGGAAGATGCCTTTACCTTTGGACAGTTACATAATAAGGGCGTATTTGTGCTAAAAGGAACTAAGTGCATAGGGTTTGCGTGTAACACAGTTCCTTTTAGCATAAATATGTCCATAAGGTAGAACATGCTTGCAAAATTTCCTACCTGTACAGGTGTGAGCCTGATGCCATAATTTACTGTTCTGGAGATGTACATTCTGATCTGAGAGTTCCTGTCTGACACTGCGGATGTGAAAAGAAAGAAAAAAAGGGGGTCATAAGTTGCACTGGAAGTTTCAGGACACATGCAAGATAAGGTAATAAATATAACACACCTCAGAAAAGCTGGATTTGACTCCTCACATACATGTGCAAGGGGGGTGAATGTGAAGACGGGCTTTTAGGGTGATTCCTCCTGGGTTAAGTTCTTGGCATGCTCGAAAAGGTGTGCGATATGTCGTTTCAATTAAGTAAAATTTCTAAGCAGATTTTTACTTTTAGCTTTACAAAAGCCTGCACGTATGATTGACAGTACTATCATTCATCAAGAAAACAATTACTCAAATAAAAGAAATGAAAAAAGGATTCGGCTGTGGGAAAAAAAACCTTTACGGCACAGAAATCAATTGCTGTATTGAATGCAATCTTTCTCTCGTAGCAAGATCTGGCTAGTAATGTACCTGAATTATGCAAAAGTCATTATCATAAATTGTTTTCAGAACCAACCCATGGGCAGAAGTTGTTTTCTTGGCTAAAGAGTCAAAATCTGCCCAGATTTTCAACATAATCATTGCAATACATTGCACGCCAGCCAGACATCACTGGGAGCCCAGGACAAATAACTTTGAACTTTGCAAATTTTCAATACTTGAATGCAATCTAATTCCTGAACCATGATCACTTTTGAGGTAAGCAAATGTCACAAATTCTGTTCACGATGTCTTTAACGCAACCGCATAGGTATCAGCGATCAGTTAGCTTGGTGCTCCCTTGGGAATTTACTGAACCCAACAACTACAAGCAGACTAGATGTGGGCTAGAATCGCATTCTCTTGATCTCAAGTGGATATGGAAAAAAGAGTGAATAGGTACAATAACTCAAAGCTTGGTTAGGGTGATTTCACGATAACAGGAATAGTTAAAATGTGAAATACCTTAAAAATAAAAGTGCACCAATTTTAACAGGATTTCATTACCTCATTTTAAAGGTATTAAACTTCCCTTTTCCAGCTTTTGCACGCTCTATTTTGATTCAGTGCAAAGTTAAAGTGATTGATAAACAAGCCATTGAATCAGGTATCAGCGCTTCCCGCGGGACTGCTGGAGGTCCACGCAAACATGGCGGCCCTGCCATATTGTGTCGGTTACGTAACAGACGCAGCGTAACCGACACTTTAAAATGTGAGATTAAAGATGATACAAAAGATGAAACTTGGCAATTCTTGAGTTATGAGGTAGAATTAATGCTGCCTTAAAAGTTTTCTAAACTTTAAAGACTTCCTTTTAGTTTAATAATATTAAATTGAGGTTTTTGCGTAGTGAGGAAATAGTGCTACACACCTAAAAATCACTGGTTTTCATGATAATTAAAGTTTTCATTGTAAAAAAAACTGACTTATTAGTAATGGTTTTGTTGAGAAGACTTCAGCGAACAATTTGATGGCAGTTTTGAAACTTCTGACTCCATCTGGCGAGAGAAACACTGCACTTAATACAACTTTAAAAATTTGTTGCCAAATGTGGCGACACCTCTTTCTAATGACTTTTCTCGCTCAATAATAAACATTTCAGTTCAAACTGGCAATTTTCTTGAACATTAGAGTCTCTTTTCAGCAAATATTGCCAAAGAATTCATGATCAGTACTGATTTGTCATCGCAAATTGCTCTTTTGCTTCAAAATCGGGGTTGGCGACGCGTAACCGACCGGACATTTTCGGCCTTTAAAGTCTCATATTATTAAATATAATAATAATTTATCATATTTTTTAGCATGGATAGGTTCAGGGACATCATTCCTATTGATTTATTCATTTGGTTTTTAAGTGTTTTGCCCTATGTCGTTCATAACCCACGGCGACACGACTATTCCTCTTATCGTGAAATCACCCGTTAGAGTTTTTGCCAGTCCAACACTGATGAGTTACTCAATTCTATTTATAGAATTTACTTGATCAAGGGCATGGCTGATCTGTCATGGCTCATGGTCACGAGTCTTATAAATGTTGGCTATCATGCATATTCCGGTCCCTGTTACTGATGTCATCATGTCATGATTATACTAACACCACGTTCATTGTGATGGTAAGACATTTCAAATATCAGGTAGAACAGAATCAGTGAACACTGATAAGCTAGAAACTTTGAGTTAATGAGACTGAAGGGTAAGGAATCTCCATTTAGACAGATATTATTACTTTCAACTCACTTGAGTATTTGCGATCTCCTGTTGAACTGTGGTTCAATCTAGAGCTCTTTTTGCTTGAGAGGCTCAATTGCTCAACCATCAATTACCTCTCGGTGAAAGGAGAAGAGTCAACGACTCTTCTTGAACAATTCTAATCCATTAGCAAACACACTCAAAGGTTATTCGTAACAAGAAATCACTTAGCTGATCACTCTTGAGATTTAAAGTGTCATTGCGTCGTGTGACAAATAACTTGTCGGCATTACACAAATTCGAGGGAGACATTAATGGATGTGAAATTTCACATGACCTTCATACAATCCATAACCTCACATTGTCGATTCTAGAATTCTAACCCATATAAGTACATACCGAGACAAATCGATGGAGGCGAGGAGAGATGAGACTAGAATTAACAGTTAATACGCTGGTAAGTACTTATTTTCAAGAATGATTTTAATTTAAAAGAGACTTACGGCAGGCAGGCTTCGAAGTCAGAAGTTCAGAACTCACGGCTGGGCGGGCGCTGGGAAGGGGAAGAACAAGGCGGATAAAGAATGGTGGTCGCATTTCGATTTTGGCTGCCATCTTGAAGCGTTGTGACGTCAGGAGGGTACGGGTTATGCCGTGCAATCCGAGGTTGAGTCGGCTCCCCCGGCCTCGGCCAGTCCATGTACCGTACCCGATGTACCCGATACCGTGTGACGTCCAGAGGGTACGAAATGTGACCACCATTCTTTATCCGCCTTGGGGGAAGAAAGCACACCCTGCACACCAATTGTTTTAGATAGATAGATATTAGATAGAATGACCAGAGACAAATACAAAAGGTGGTGGCAAGGCAGCCATCTTGAAGATTGGCTGTGACGTAGACAAGTACACGGACTGGCGCGCTGTTCAAAAAAAAGTACATTTCATTATGGAACCTGTATAAAGACCAAAAGACCTAATAATAATCTATACTATAAGCTCCAAGGCCTCCTAATTTTGCATAACTGGTAACGCTTAGTTCCAGCACGTGCTACCGGACCGATTTTCATGATTTTTGCGGCTATCGACGGGCAATTCTCTCTAGATGAGCCCGCTTTATTCAGATTTTCAAAATATGACCCAGGTTTTTTTTTTTTTTTTTTTTTTTTTTTTTATATTACACGGTAAAGTTGCGAATTTTCCATTCAAACAATGTAAATTTATATTTTTTGTCATGGGCCTGTTTGAGCGCGAAGCGGTCTCTGGAGGTTGGGCCGCGTAGGGGCCAGGGGGCATAGCCCCCCGAGTAATAATAATGATTATGATAATGATAATGATAGTGATAATGATAGTGATAATAATGATAATGATGATGAGAAGATAACATCTTCGCCACTTTGGCCACGGCCGCCATCTTGGATTTTGGAATTTTCAAAATCTGACCAAAAATTCGCGTTCCCCGTCGAAAAGTACTGACAACACCAATTTTCACAAAAATCCGTAGAAAAAAACCCCCCAAAACCTGAAATTTCGTCTAATGCTGCGACGTCACGCGACAAGATTGAACCTGTTCGGCGCGGTGCGCTTGAACAACCTCGTATCCCCAAAGCAATAGTATAGAGAGACACAACTATTCTTTTTTTAGGCTTCAGCGGTATTTTTTTCTAAATTTGATTTTTCAGGCATGTAAAAGTGGTCCTTAGCTGTATTTTGTGGTTTGAAGGAAATCGCTCCGACATTTTTTTTTTATACAGTGTTGATGAAAGAGCCGTATGCAAAAACGACATTTTTCGCCCCCCCCCACTAAAACTTATTCAAACTTCGTCTATCAGTTACTGATACTGGAGCGCTTCTTTCCCCAAATTTTCAGACCCCCAAAAAATTTTGGGGAGGCGCTAGGGGGGGGGGGTGGAAGTCAAAACCTGTGAACCTCGATATCTTTCGAACGAATCAAGATATTGAGGCTCGGTTTGGACGAAAAATCGTCTAAAATTGCATATTTTAAGATTCTAAAGGTCAAAATCCCAAAATTACATTTTTAACTTAACTTATGTGCTTTTCTTCAGTTTTTGAGGAAAAACAGTTACTTTTAAACACACTAACCTGAAAGAGCACAATTTTTTATTTGAACCAAAACCAGTTTTTTAAATTGCTCGTCTTTTTCCGCATCCAACGAGTGGTCATTTAAGCTGGAGAACCGAACGGTTCCGGACTTATGATCGATTGAAGTTTCCACTCAACGCGCGCCGACCGATTTTCGCGCGCAAAAAAGTCGGATTTGACTGTTATTAAATCAGATTGAATGTTCAAACTGAGCAAAATGCATTATTAGGGACTCTTGAGAGTAGCTGAGTTCAGAAATCACAGATTCTTCCTAAAAAGTCACGTTTTTAAAATTACAGCTTCGTAGCGCTATTTTAGAGGCCCATTGAGCGCCGACCGGCCGCTCAGTGAAAACGTGAATTTTTTGGAAGTATCTGTGATTTCTGAACTCAGCTACTCTCAAGAGTTCCTAATAATACATTTTGCTCAGTTTGAACATTCAATCTGATTTAATAACAGTCAAATCCGACTTTTTTGCGCGCGAAAATCGGTCGGCGCGCGTTGAGTGGAAACTTCAATCGATCATAAGTCCGGAACCGTTCGGTTCTCCAGCTTAAATGACCACTCGTTGGATGCGGAAAAAGACGAGCAATTTAAAAAACTGGTTTTGGTTCAAATACAAAATTGTGTGCTCTTTCAGTTTAGTGTGTTTAAAAGTAACTGTTTTAAATACTCCCTAAAACCTGAAATTTCATCTGTAATGCTGTGACGTCACGTAGCAGGATTGAACCTGTTCGGCTTGGTGCGCTTGAACAACCTCGTATCTCCAATGCATTACTAGACGGAGAAACAACTTTTCGCTCTTGCGGGCGTCCTGGGCATTTGGGCAATGTATTGGAATCGGAATAATTTTGATCAACTCCTCACGACGATTGCTAAGCATGTACAAAGTTGAAAGGGGCCAATTTTTCTCTGGGGGGGGGGGGNGGGGGGGGGGGGGGGGGGGGGGGCAGAGTGAGCCGGTACGGCAGCTTTAAACTGAGTTATCCAAAAGTCACCTACCACCCCTGTAAATTTTTTCCTAACTGAGATAGAAATTTGAAACTTTGGCAATGTTCCTCGGTATAAAGTAGCAACTTTTTGGTCCCCCCAAAATTTTGGGGGGGCGGGGGCTAACTTTTTTTTTCTAATTGCAACCCCCCTTTTGTGATACCGCATTCGAGAGGTAATAAAGAAAGAAAATTTTTGGCGCAAACCGCAGGTCAAAATGTTGATTTTTGACAAAATGGCGGCCGGTCAAAGTTCAAAATGGCGGAAATTTGGCGTCTCCGATTTTTATCGGCGGATTGGTCTGAAACTCAGAATCCTAGGGTTTTCCGGGACGAGAAAAACGACTCTAGCGCATTAGTTTTCCAGAAAAGTCATTCCTTTTCAAAATGGCAGCTTAGAGCGGGAAGTGGATAATTAGGCTGCTTGTCGTTAGATTTGTATGAGACTTGGTATCCGGGGATATTTCGGCACGAGAAGAACGAATCTTTCATTGGATTTTTGAAACTTCGAAAAACTTTAAAATGGCGGCGAAAAAATGACGGGAAATCCATATCACCGGCCATAACACCGATTTTTCCGCCGCCATTTTTAAAGTATTTAGTATTTCAAAAATCTAATGAAAGATTCATTTTTTTCGAGCCATAAACCACCAGATCATCGATTTCCGTGCAAATCCATCGGTAAACTATGGAACGCCGTTAGTGTCAAAACCCTTTTCTTGCGCGCGCGGAATTTTTTCTGGCGCGCGGAAAGAAAAAACCCATTTTCGATGAAAATCTCTGAATTTACGGATTCCGCGCCGGTTTTCGATATATTTGCGCCGTTTGTGTCAAAAATATTTTTTCCGGCGCGGCGATCCAAATCTGTTCCGCGCGCAGAATTTTCGATATATCGATTCCTGCTCGCCGATCGTGTCAAAACTGTTTTTTCCGGCGCTGCACCAGAAAATAATTCCGCGCGCCACTTTTTCGATATATCGATTTTTCTGCGCGCGGAGAAGATGGTCAACGTAAAGCAGCGTGAAGTTTATACAGCTACTACTTAAATGAACTAAAAAAGCAATGAGTGGGAATTTGAATATGAACAAATTCAATAGAGCAAACTTTCTGGATTCAGGAATAAATAAATTTAAATTATCGGCAACACTGCACTTTTTCCCCTCCAACGGTTTAATGGAAATCGTTCAAAAGAGAGATAATATTCTCCGCGCGCAGAAAAATCGATATATCGAAAAAGTGGCGCGCGGAATTATTTTCTGGTGCAGCGCCGGAAAAAACAGTTTTGACACGATCGGCGAGCAGGAATCGATATATCGAAAATTCTGCGCGCGGAACAGATTTGGAGCGCCGCGCCGGAAAAAATAGTTTTGACACAAACGGCGCAAATATATCGAAAACCGGCGCGGAATCCGGAAATTCAGAGATTTTCATCGAAAACGGGTTTTTTCTTTCCGCGCGCCGAAAAAAAATTCCGCGCGCCGGAAAAATATTCCGCGCGCCAGAGAAGGGTTTTGACACTAACGGCGTTCCATAGTAAACAGCTGTGATATGGATTTCCCGTAATTTTTTCGCCGCCATTTTAAAGTTTTTGCGCGTGACGCGCAAAATTTAGCAACGATTCTCAGCAACCATCGGATAGTGTCGGATTTGTCTGAACTATTCGAATAGATTTGATACCATTTGGATGAAAATAACTCGAATTAGTGAAATTTCAGCTGTTGAGCGATGACTGTTGACTGCCACATTCAGCTGCCAAATTCAGCGTGTAATTGCGGCATAATGTTGAGGTAGATTTGAAACTTGGAGGATACTTCTAGATCAAAGATACCTAGTTAATTTTTGACCCCCTATAATTTTCAGGAGGGCCCTCTTGGGAGGCACCTCCCAGAAGATACCTCCCTCTCCCCCCCCCCCAAAAAAAAAAATTTGGGATCCAAACTTTTTTATTTTCAAATAGAAAGATCTCCCTTGTAATACCTCATTGGAAATAGCATGTAAAAGAAAACTTTGCACACCCAAAATCAATACCTCAAAATAATCGTCTCAAAATGTCACCCGGTTAAAGTTCAAGATGGCTGAAAATTGGCACCGGCTTTTTTGATGATGGATTTGCACAAATATCGAAATGTGGGAGGTATTTTAACTAGAGTCCCTTTATACCCAGAGTTAAGACAACTCACTTTTGGTTGGGCTGAAAGTGGCCTAGAAAAAAATCCAATTCTGATTGGTTCTCGCTCATGGAGGCCGAAACGAGTGCACCAAGATGGCGGTACCTCGAATATGAACAAGAATAATGAAAATATTACCTAATTGTGGTTTATCAAGAGTAAATTGTTATTTCCATCGGTCCAAAATGAAAATAGATTAAGAAATTATTCACAAACCAATCTCATTTTCTTTTTAATTGATCAATTTGTTGATGTTGTTGTTTTTGTGTGACAGACATCGCAGGATTCCTGATCCTTATCCCTCAATATCGTTCGTTTGGGTGCACTCGTTTCGGCCTCCATGGCCAGCCAAGGCCGGCTGCCAGTCAGCTGATAATCGAGTTGTCTTAACTCTGGGTATAAAGGGACTCTAATTTTAACTAGAGTACCTGTATAGGGAGAGTACCGACAGATCTGAAACTCCGAAAGTCCATCAGGCCTTCCGCGAATAAAGTTAGGGCCCAAAAGGGCAGCCAACCTATGAATTTCAATTATCCAGAGCGATTTACCGATACTATTGTTACGAACCGTCCTTTATTAAGCACGTGTTTGACTCAGTTTTTGCATAAATTAACACAATTTTGCGGAAGAACGCTAATTTCTGTACATTCTTGGCAATCTTGGTTAGAATTGGAATCTGCAGACTGGCAGTGAAATTTTGTGCGTTAGAAGTTGGTTAGAAGGGTGGCTGCACTTCTGGGCCCTAAGCCCTCCATGAACCGATCTTTCGGTACTCTCCCTATTCAGCAGAGTTAAGAAATTTCATGAAAGATTATAAAAAGAAATTTCATAATGAAATTTCATGAAGTTTCATGAAATTTCGTGAAATTTCATTTAACACGCAGAATTCAAGATTAAACCCTTGAAACTTATGAATCTCCTTAAGTTCATTTATAGGCACGTGGTAAACTGTGAATGGGAACTTTAGAAATGCCCAGAAAGTTGAGTAAAACAGCAAAAACATAATTTTGAATTTTTTATCTTAAATTTTGGTTGAACACACAGCCGTACCGGTTGAACACCAAAATAAATTTTACGGATAAAGTAAGACGTTAGCTTTCATATTTGGAGAAAAACAAATGTCTTGACTATAAAGAATCCTAGTACCCCCTAATAGTATATCGTTCTTTTTTGGTACAAAAGAGAGGGATCTTGAACTATCTTTGAAACAATTTAAATGATTTTTTCATTTGTCTCTGATTTTTTCAGAAATTAACAGTTTGAAATTTGAGGTTAGGGTTCCCGGTCCCCCTCCCCATGATGAGCCAGAACTGCCAGAAGAGAAAGAGTAGTAAGAGAAGACCAGAAGAGAAGAGCTGAGAGAAGACCGCGCTCCAACTGGTCTAATTGACGAATATTATTCTCTTTGAAAATAAAAACAAATTCTGTTAGAAAAAATAAGCATTTTTGACATTTTGTCGGTCGAAAGAAATTTCATTGGGAAAAAAGAAATTTCTTTTAGCAACTCTGCTATTCAGCTACTCTAATTTTAACACAAGAAAGACAAATTTGACCATAGAATCTGAAAAAAACGAAACGTTCAAAATGGCAGCCAGTCGAAGTTCAAAATGACCAAAAATTGTTTTTTTTTCAGAAATCTAACTTTAAATTCGTTTTCACATACCAATACAACATCCAAAGTTTCAGGCAACTCAATCGACGAACGAACGCGGTCAGAGATGGAAAGTGAAATTTCACGTTTTGAAATTTCATGAAATTTCACGTGAAATTTCATGAAATTTCACAAGGCCCGAATAAATTTCAAAAAAATTGAAATTTGTTGATTTTTCAAAGAAATATTGTTACTAAGCCTCGGAAACGGCTCAGATGATCCTTCTGCTGATGCAGCAGAATATGGCCCACTAATGAGATGCTACACCCAAAGGAGGGGGCACAAGGGGGGTTTTAGAGAAAGTTAGCCCTAACCTAACCTCCAAACCAAATGTAAACAGACATGTACCCAGCAAATCGCGTGGCCGTGGACAAGATTATAAAATATGTAGGACAATAAGTTGGTTCAGAAATATACCACTAAAAGTGCCGTTTTTTAGCATTACAATTTTTAGCATCAATTTCTCCAACGTTTCTCAAATAAAAGTCCCCCCCCCCTCATAAAAAAACTAGTATTTTCATGCCGATGCGTGGAGGAAATTGTTCTTGTGGTGGAGCGGAGGCACTCAAGTGTCAATGATGCATTACTTACGAAAATTAAGGACCCATGACTTACATAAGTGACATCTGACATTACACCGAAATCTTCGTGATAAAAAACTGAGCTGCTGGAAGAGTGGGTGGTGAGGTTAGGTTAGGTCAGGGGGGGCTGAAAAATCTCAATATCGAGAATCACCGTTTCTAGGCGTTTCTTGGCCTCTTGAATGTATCCTCAAAAGTTTCAATAAATTTCATGAAATTTCACGAAATTTCATGAAATTTCATGAAATTTTCCATCTCTGAACGCGGTGTCAATGGAGATGTTGCATGTGTGAGGAATTAGCGATTTGTCTACTGCTTCTTATGTAACAGTTCGCGAGATGGTGCCACTGGTTTTCTCTGAAATTAACTCCCAAGCTCAAAAAAAGCACTCAAGTTAAGGCCACAACCATGTCTTTGGCCAAAATGGAGGGGATATCACACGCTATCCTGAGAGTCCACCTCTACATCAAGACAAACTCTCCATGCAAAGATAGGAAGTAAATACATTAGCAGGGTTGCCGTGTCTTCAGTTGTGGAGTCCCCAAATAATTAATTATAGCTAGAAATTAGCAGCCCTGTCAATAGCTATGTTTATGCGAGCCTCTTAACCTAACTTCAATCGAAACCGGAGTTTGAAACCAAGGTTCAAATCACGGCATAAACGATACGGAACTAACGAAATGTAGGTTTCTGAAATTTGTGTTTGAAACCTTATTTTACACTAAAGACTAGGTTTTCGCACTCCGCATGAACGAACCGCTGATGTTGCATGTGTAAGGAATTTGCGATTTGACTGTTAATTCTGATGTAATTGTTCGCGAGAAACACGATGGTGCTACTGGTTTTCTCTGAAATCAACTCCCAAGCTCAAATTAAACTCTCAAGTTGAGGCCAAAATGGAGGGGATATCCCACCCTACCCTGAGAGTCCACGTCTACATCAAGACAAACTCTCCATGTAAAGATAGGGAGCAAATACATTGACAGGGCTGCCACTTTATTTGAGGACTCTAAAACTGAAAACACGGCATCTTTGCTAATGTATTTGCTCCCTATCTTTGCATAGGAGTTTGTCTTGATGTAGAGGTGGACTCTCAGAATAGCGTGGGATATCCCCTCCATTTGGGCCTCACTCAACTTAAGAGCTTTTTCTGAGCTTGGGAGTTAATTTCAGAGAAAACCAGTGCCACAATCGTATTTCTCGCGAACTTTTACACAAAAATCAGTGGTCAAATCGCAAATTCCTCACACATGCAACATCTCCATTATCGGGTATATTCAGAGTTGCTAAAAGCAATTTCATCGAATGAAATTTCTTGAAATTTCACAAGAAATTTCATGAAATTTCTTAAATTTCATGAAATTTCTTTTTTCCCCATGAAATTTCTTTTTATAATCTTTCATGAAATTTCTTAACTCTGGGTATATTGTGAATGTTGAATGGCCTAAACGTTGGGCCTAAAGGGACTCTAGAATGGCCGCCACTCTGATAATTTTGGTTTTCTTTTAAAAAAAAATTACCGTCAAATTCGTCATTCTTGTATCAAAATACTTCCTGGACACCACTCTTGGCGCAAATCTACCGACAAAACAAAAAACCGATGCCAATTCTCAGTCATCTTGCGAACTTTAACCAGCCGCCACTTTTCACTCTCAGAAATGCATAATAATAACGCACACAACGGCAATGCAGCCTTTATCCATTTTCAAGCGACTGCGCTGCTGTCGTCCAATAGTGATCGAGGATTGAAAGAGGGAGGAAGACGACGCTGTGTTGCCGCTGCACGCCGATACCAAACCAATATGTGTCAGTACCAAACTATTATTCGTAATTCGTTTGAAGGGTTAATGCTAGATTTGCCTACTGTGCGTCACAGTCGGAAGTAATACCAACTTTCCTGACGATGATAACTACTACATGTTGGTGTAATCGGGAAGTTTCCTAAGTTAATAATTTTTCCCAAAGTTAAAAGAAATGAGTCTAAAGATTAACTCCGTAATTTTACTTCGTTATTTAGACTGCAATGTTTGCGAGTATTTTGATTAAAACATACCTTCAGAAGTTTACAGTGATGTGTCAGCCTCGTAGATCAATACGGAACATACATACCCACCAATTCGAGCATTTTGCTAGACTTGCCCAACTCCCCGAGTTCTGAAACCTCTTGACACTTGGGTTGATGCCTCATTTTGACCAAGTAGCTGCTGCAAGAGAGATTATGCATTCCGAAAAGTTTTGACAGGGTATTCAAATGAATTCAATGAGAAAAAGGAAATCTCTGTATTTAATCATCAGAAACATAACATTTCAGTGCATCCCAGTAAATCTTGGTGCATGATAAACAAGGTATAAAAATGCGGGAGAAGAGGAGAAGATGGATGATACTGCAATTCCAAGGCAGCTAAGCTTCATTATTTTTCATGAGCTTACTTGTAGGTATCTGATACCTATAGTGGACTGTGAATTTAAACCTAGGTAGGTTATACCTATCCACCCACTTGAAATGATTCGCCCAATTAAATTCCATTGGAGACGCTTTAAAAAATTAATTTTGATCACTCTTGCACCACTTTTCTATTTATATACATCATACCTACCAGCAGAAAATTCACCAAACCATGAAAGTTTTATAAACAATTACACATTTACTTACAACGCTAGTGCTGTAGAGAAAATTCCTAGTAAGTCCGAACTGCAAGTGATATGGATTAAACAAAAGATTCAAAGACTCTCACGCTCCACATCAAAGTATGATAAATTTAAGATTCTCACCAATGGAACTACGAAACCAAATCGGAACGTTCATATTTTCTACTATGCTTCCTTTAGAAGTCAGGACTATGATGGAGAATGGAGAAATTGGAATTCGGACTCCACACTTGATTCGGCAATGGATTTTCCCCCCTATGAATACAATCCACCAGCAGATATAGCATCAGTTTACTATCCGTATTTAGGGTGCTACAGCTCCCGTAACTTATCTGTGCTATCAGAACACATGAAAATTATACGAAACACGAGTATAGGTAAGAACAAAGTTCAAATGACAATCTTAGCAAGAACTTTTTAGTAGGTAGCTGATGTCTGAAATAAATAGGCGACAATATTTGAGACATGTAGCTGATTTTTTTCCAAAATTTATACTTATTTTTCATTCACATTCAAAACTCAAATTAAACCTCACCCATTTATTTAGAATATGAATTAAGAAGTGAGGTAAAGTTCTGAGTTTTTGTCTAAATTTTTGGTGCAAATGTGAAAAACCTACCATTGTTTTAAAATTCTTAACTTAAAATTCTTAAACTTTTTTCCAGTATAATACTTTTGTGTTCGAAGTATCAATATAGCTAGAATGCTGGGTGCGACTTGAATGTATTTTTGTACATTTAAAGATTGCTTCTATATTCAGCAATGAAAAATCAGGTAGAAACATGTTTCATTTGTTTCCTTGATGGAAAATGTGGGGAAAATGAATGCCGAGATGCAATGAAAATGTTGTAAAAACCTCTTTTTAAGTTTCCACAATCATTGATGTGTATCATTTTGATATCTTTAGCAATGAAATTGAGAGTCAAAAATTAAACATAGATCTGTTTGGACAAGGTAAATCTTAAGAAAATCAAATTGTTAAAGACTGAAAAACACCGAAAATCAATTTATTGAGTCCAGCCATCTGTAGCTTCAAACGTTTTGAATTTTTTGAACCTGTAGGTAAGGTCCTTAAGCACCTTTTAAAATTTTTAATGTATTTTTTCAGTAGGAAAACACAATGAATGGTTGAAAAAATTTTGAGGCTGTTTCAACTCCATTCCAGTTTTCTATTTTACTTCTAAGGGAGATAATTTATTTCATATCACACAAAATTAAGGCGAGTGTCTCTTCTCAATTTTGAAATGCAGTCAGTTATATGCATGAAATTCTATTTCATTTGTATTTCAGGTGTTGTGGCTGTTTCATGGTGCCCTTTGGACGAGAAAGGCTTTCCTACAGACTTATTCAGATCAATTTTGGATTCAGCTTTGAAGAATGACCTGAGAATAGCTATCCATTTCCAAGAATGTGGACAAAGCAAGAACATGCTCCAATTTGCAGCTCAAGTACAAAAAATAATCAACAACTTTGGAAATCATTCAGCTTTGCACAGAATATTACACAAGGGCGCAAACTTGCCGGTATTGCTTCTGTAAATTAAAGAAATTTAGTAATTTTACTAGACCTATTCATGATTGTAGGTACGAGAAAATCACAAAGCCCATTAGGCCATTGAGCAACCTATGAACACAGTCTCAAAATGACAAGAATAAGAATTCTTTCTGCATTTGACTTGCAATGAGGGCAACCAGAGTTTTTTGCTTGTTTGAGATTTTCCAGCCTTTATTTGAGTGCCTTATACTTAATTCTTTTAAAACAGCTTCCAGTTGGATATAGTGTTACACGCAAAAAAGAACCAGTATTTCTGGCTTATTCATAAAAGCACTTATTTACATGGGAAAATCAATGGAATATATTTCGTTCTAGAGATATGGACCAGATGAGTTACTTTTTTTTGTGTAATGCTATTCGAGCATGTAAGTATGGGTTGATGACAATTTATCTGAGGTGCATTTGTATACTATGTCAGGAAAGCAGATGGACAGCGAGACCTCCAATGCAGAAGTTTTTTTAGGTCGTATCTCTATCTCATAGACATAGTTGTATAGTTGGGATCATTAGTATTGAATTTTCAATCGGCATTCAATTGGACGTATTTATGCTAAAAAGAACTATATGCATAGGGTTTGCGAGCAACATACAGGGTGTTTCAGACCACCCGTACCAGGCTTTTTTCTCGGTTGGTATAGGTCGTACGAAGTCGGAGACCGCGGGGATCGATAAATAGGGGAATTGACCGCAAGGAATCCGAATTTCGTAGTCCCGAACCCCACCCCCCCATGGAAGGTAAATGGGGGGTCACGATGCTAAAAGTCACGGTTCCCGACCGAATTGCGCATAGATCGCATCAGCATTGAAAAGCACGGAAAGTTTCACGTGGAATTGACCCCTAAAAATCCAAAATCGGACCATCCAAGGCCCAAAAATGACCCCCTAAAGATGGGGACAGTGCCCCCCTCCATAATTTCTCTTTGGTCTAAAAATTGACGTAGATTCTCCAGAAAAAGACAGTTTCCCAGATAATCGACCTCGAGAAATCCAAATTTCATGGTCCCGAAGCTCCTCTAGTCCCCTTGGGGGGTAAACGGGGGGGCCCAATTTTAAAAATCGGGGCTCCTTACCGAATCGCAAATTGATTGCATCCAAATTGAGGAGCAGAACACATTTACATGTTAAGTGACTCCTAAGAGTTCTAATAGACCCCCTCAACGGCAGAAAGTAACTTCCTGAGGAGGGGGGCTTCGCCCCCGCCAAAAATTTCTCAGGATTCCTCTTTGGTCGCAAAATTGACGTTGATTCTCCAGAAAAAGACGATTACCCATGTAATCGACCCCGAGGACTCTAAATTTCATGTTCCCTGAGCTCCTCGGGGTCAATTACATGGGAGACCGTCTTTTTCTGGAGAATCGACGTCAATTTTGCGACCGAAGAGGAATCCTGAGAAATTTTTGGCGGGGGCGAAGCCCCCCTCCTCAGGAAGTTACTTTCTGCCGTTGAGGGGGTCTATTAGAACTCTTATAGGAGTCACTTAAGATATAAATGTGTTCTGCTCCTCAATTTGGATGCAAGCAATTTGCGATTCGGAAAGGAGCCCCGATTTTTAAAATTGGGCCCCCCCGTTTACCCCCCAAGGAGGCTAGAGGAGCTTCGGGACCATGAAATTTGGATTTCTCGAGGTCGATTATCTGGGAAACTGTCTTTTTCTGGAGAATCTACGTCAATTTTTAGACCAAAGAGAAATTATGGAGGGGGGCACTGTCCTCATCTTTAGGGGGTCATTTATGGGCCTTGGATGGTCCGATTTTGGATTTTTAGGGGTCAATTCCACGTGAAACTTTCCGTGCTTTTCAATGCTGATGCGATCTATCCGCAATTCGGTGACCGTGACTTTTAGCATCGTGACCCCCCATTTACCTTCCAGGGGGGGGGGGGGGTTCGGGACTACGAAATTCGGATTCCTTGCGGTCAATCCCCTATTTATCCCCGCGGTCTCCGACTTCGTACGACCTATACCAACCGAGAAAAAAGCCTGGTGCGGGTGGTCTGAAACACCCTGTATATAGTTCCTTTTAGCATAAATACGTCCAATTTTGTTTTCCTGCAAGATGAATCTAGGTTAAGAATCTAAACTCTTGGTCCGCATAATTCCAGAGAAGAAATTGTAACTTATGATTCTCCGTTACAGTTCAGTTTTAGTAATAGAAGTAAGTAGGCACTCTGTTCATTGTCAGTGGAGTGTTACAATACCCCGATAACAGTGATCAGTAGAACAGTTTAAAAAGGTTGATTAAAAGTTGAAAGAAAAAATTGAGCCAGGAAAGTTTATACAACTTCTGATCAAGGTTTATTTAGTACTGATGAAAACTCGAGAATTATTAAAATTACGAATCAGAGTTTGTTTTCCTTAATTAAGAGAGATTTAAAATTTTCAATTATTTTCGGCTATTATTGTAAAATAGTTGCAGGAGTTTGCAACTATTTCCTATTTAAGATTTATAATTAATACATAAAATTATTATAAATTGCAGATTTTTTACATATATGCTTCCGATAATGACTTTCCAAATCAGTACAGGTCAATTTTACATCAGCATGGAAACATGAGTATCCGAGGGACCATGTATGATGGTGTGTTTTTGGGTCTCTTGACAAATTATGAGCAATTACGCTCATTTAAACTAGCACAATTTGATGGTAAGATATTTTGAAATTTTTAACTCATACTGGGAAAAGAGTAATATGATGGCTGGAGACAGAAACATCTGATTCTCATTCTCAGATCCCTTTTCAATTGAAATGTAACCTCATGACTTTACAGTACAAATGTACCAGAACTTTGGTTTTCAGCTCTATAATTATCTTTGAAAGAATGGGCAAAAACACAAGATATGAAACAAAGTACTGTAAGTGTAGCTTTGTAGATTAAGCATTTCAAACAATATTTCCTCCTCAAAAATTCATGTATTAGGTAAACTTCATTATTCAACTGAGTTGTTAATACCTCTTCTTCTAATTGCTTATTATACAGGGTGATCCAAAAGTCCCTTCCACCCCCTCTAACTTTTTACCTAATTGAGGTACAGATTTGAAACTTGGGGGATATTCCTAGGTAAAAGGGAGCTACTTTTTGGCCCCCCTAAAATTTTCAGGGGGGCCCCC